CAAAAGCTTCCAGAGCTGGAAGGATATAAAATGTGGACGTTTCGCCCAAAATATTTATTTTACATTGGTTCGTAATATAATTACTTGCATTTAAAGATTTAACCACGAATGGTTTATTTACTGGGGTACCACCCCTTAGAAACGGTAGATTTTTAATATAATTTTTAGAACTTCATGTATCTATTAATATTCGAAGCTCTTGACCGTTCTTACTAGTTTTAGTAATGAATGGCAAGAGCGACCTTAAGCTAAAAAATGAACATCTTCGATAGGATCGAGAGTCTCATGTTCAAATGATGATGAGACCGCAGAGTCGTTATCATATGTTTCCATATGATTTACTCTCGGAATCTTTAAAAATGGTGATCTTCCTGATTTATGTACTGGTTAAATTGTTGTGGTGGAGTATTTGAGTTAAATTGTTGCGGCGGTGTATTGGTATTAAATTGGGTAGTTCTTCTGAACTGTGAGCTTTCACGGTCGACTTCCATTGGGGTTACGCCATCCCTCTGTTGGTTTTGGTGGGTTTTAGTTTGAAATGGAGTTTTCTTGTCTTTTGTATAATTACCAAAGGCGAAGGTGCTTGCAAATTCGTTTCTTTTATGATTGACCTCAAACTCTTGAGCTGTAGCAAGAGCCGTAGGTAAATCAGCAGGTCGAGCCGAGAACAGAATGTCGCACAGAGGACGGTGAAGTCCTGATATGAATACGATAAGAGCAGTTTCTCAGGCCCGTTCGTTAAGTGCTGTAGTTAAAGCTCGGTTTTGGCCATTACTCATAATATTTTTATTGATAATTAAGGTTAATTGTTTGTCAACCATGTCATAGTATTCTGTAAGTGTTCGGTTTCCTTATCTTAAGATACTGGGTTCGTTTTCTAGTACGTGCAAAGGTCGTTTGTCGGAATATTCCTGATCCAATTTTCCCAAAATTGCATCAAAATTTAGAACGGTATTAAAGGCCGCTAGGGTCGCGTTTGCAGACCCCACAATTTTATTTCGTAAAATGCCGGTAGCGATGTAGTAAGTTTCAGACCCGCGTGTATGGTAGTCCATGGCATACTTTGCAGCAGTTCTCCAAGCAGGATATGCTGCGGGTTCGCCCCGAAATTCGGGTAGAGATTTGATTAAATCAAGTCTAGTGTGTGTCTCGCGAGTGCCATCAACTATTGAAACAGGTTGAAAAATCTGTGGTTGGGGTGGCCTTAAACTTTCGATTGTTCCAGTCAAACTAGATATTTGAGCTGAAAGTTCATTTTTAGTCCATTCAACAATTGTATTAACTAAGGTTTGTACTTGCTCTGACGTTAAACTCATCTTTTAAGGTAGACAAAGAAAAAGCAAGTATAAAAAAAATAGTGGTGACAAGATTACAATTAATTAAAAATTTTTCACTTAAAATTTTTTTTTAATTTTTTTAGTATAAAGATTTTTTTTAATCAATTAAAAATTTTCACTTAAAATTCTTTTTTTTAATTTTTTTAGTATAAAGATTTTTTTAATCAATTAAAAAATTTTTCACTTAATTTTTTTTATTTTTTTCTGGTGTAAATTTTTAAAATTTCAAATATGTTTCTTGGAAATCTTCAACAAAAAGAATTTGTTAGATAAGCTTTTGTGAATATATTTTTCAATTACCCACTTCTATAGGATGTATTTATAAAATTAATTTTTACTTTAATTAACATTCTAATAATATTTTTTTTATAATTTTTTTTTTTATTAATTTTTATTTTAATTTTAAATATTTTAATAATTTTTTAATATTTATGAGAAAATGTAAAATGTAATAATCAATCTTGACTTACAATTTCATGGGTTCTAGGGATGATCACAGCGATATCGGAAGGATACTATTATGGTGTCTGCTTGCTGTTGTTGGTTTCTGTTGTTGCTGGTTCTGATGTTCGCGTCTTCTTCTATGAGAATTTTTTTGAAACACCAGATTATTTTGGTCTTGATGTTTGCGTCTTCTTCTATGAGAATTTTTTTGAAACACCGGATTATTTTGGTTTTGATGTTTGCGTCTTCTTCTATGAGAATTTTTTTTGAAACTCCGGATTATTTAAAGTGACACTTTTAGTATTTATTATCTTTCGAACTGGGCCACGTTTGTCGCCAAATAATGTTTTTCTTGGCTGAGAATTAAAACATTTAATTTATTTCCGTCCGTTCTGATGCGGATGTGATTTTATTCTGACTTAAAAATTTATTTTTTACAATTTTACTTTTATTTAAAGCTAAGTTATTAAAAATACAAAAAAATACAATTAACTACAGAAAATGCCTATGTTGCATTTTATTCGAATTTTAATTTTACAATTTTATTTTAAGAAATTTAAGATATGGATATGGATACGATTTAAGATATGGATAAAAATGTCTCCCAAATCGATTTAAAAATGGTAGTTGATCAAATAACATCTAAATAATCACGAAACTAAATGAAATAGCGAACCTGTGAAAGTGTTAAGTCAAAAATCACAGAAGTGATTTATGGATCGAACAACTACTTTTCTGTCCATGCTGATTTAATAAAGTTGCATATTTTAAATTAGAGAAAAAGTTGTCGACTGATGTGCCTAGAAGAATACTAGAATATAAAGGATGAGGAAACTCTCTTTGATGAGCCACCAAAGAACTAATTTTATACAGCTACATTCTTGACATTAGAAGGTTCAGTTCGTTGAGCTTCCGAACAACTCCCATTTCGATCAAAACTATAAACTTGAAATTTCATATGATATTATCAAATGTTGTGTCCAAAAATATACCTCAATGTGGAGGTTTTAAAAAACGGTGTGATAAAAAATTTCATTTAAAACGAGAAAAAATAGAGTTGACCTTGTCAACTTTGTGATATCCGTACGAATTTGTTATCCTATGTGCGAATATATATGCCATAGCTGACTATGGGACAGACTATGACTTTAAGTTGCCATATTACCATATTAATTTATGCAAAATTTCAGTACTGCGTTTTTAATATTTTCTAAGATATTGCCCAACTACTATTGAAGTTGTGTGGCAGCTACCAGACACAGCCAAGAAATATTAACGAGTTTTGTCAAACACATTGGCCCTACTAATATATTCGCTTGTGTGAATTTTTAATATCATAGGGTTTATAGTTTCTGAGATATAGCCAAAAAGCTTTTGAAGTTGCATGGCAGCTACCAGAAGGAGTTAAGCAATTTCAGCGAATTTTATCAAACGCATTGGCCCTACTTATATATTCGTTTGTGTGAAATTTCATTATCACAGCTTTTATATTCTCTAAGATATAGCCAAAAACTTTTTAAGTTGTTTATCAGCTACCCAAACCAGTACCCCGATCATGTCCAATTTAAATAATAATTTCATGTTCTGACATTTACTAAAATAAATAATTTGTTAAAATTTGGTGAACTTAGCTCAATTAGTTTTTGAATTATCATTGGGAAGAACGGGCAGACGGAGAATTCGACGCTGATCAAAAACATACACTTGAGACTATATCTCAGACCATTATTTCTTAGCATTACGAACGGTAAGGCAAATTCAGTATACCCTCCGACCATACGTATGCATATACACACATTTGCTTTTGCGCAAATACATTGGTTAAGGTCGAGGTTAAATTCGAAAAAACTATAGATAGCAAAATGCTATAGAAAATACAAAATGTGTTTTCGGTAAGAAAATAGGGAGGAAACTTTTTGTTTTATTGGACATATAACCAAAATAATTTGGCCTTAGCACAAACGGGACCAAGTCCATTAATGAGTCAATAACAGTTATAGGATGATTCGCCAAATAATGCCTTTATAAGGCACCCTTAGTGCATTCTTGTGCGTTAATGGTAATTAAAACCAAATACAAGAAAGTACTGTGGATGGAGTTATAATAAACGACCATCATGTACTTCTCTTAGTCGTCTTAAATCACTAGACTAATCTTTAAACAAAACAATCAAATTTTTTAACTTTGTTTTTATTAGACATGTATTCGAAAGTTTTTCTAGCATTTCTCCAAAAAAATTTTGAAAAAACTGCTTATTAGTTTCACCCTGACCGTCCGTGGACATGTTTACAAAACTTCTACTCTGTTGAAGATAAAAAGCTCTTCAGAGTTGTAAAGATACAATTTTTAGCACTTTTCCAAACAAATTTTGAAAAAAATGAGATTTTGAAACGTACGGACGGACGGACTCCATCTGTCAACTTATTTCCATAGAAGAAAATTTTTACCTATCTCTCCTCCTTTAAAAGTAATAACCCGTCAAAATCCTAAAAATGCCTTTTTTCAACCATTTTTTGCCGCGAAATCATAAGCATTTCTCAAATTTGGCAAACGCAGAAAATTAGTAGCTTCTCTTACCACGGCATACCATACTTGAACTTTAAAATAACAAAATGGCCGATAAAATTTACCGTTATAAAAAATCCGTTTTTACCAAAATTTTGATGTATTTTTACCTGATTTTGATCAGGTTATGAAAGTCTAAAATTTTAATAGGTTTTAGACAGTTTATTTCTTTAGAAGAAAATTTTTTGTGCTTTCCCCCACTCTTAAGTTATCGCCTCTCTAGTTAGCTTAATTTATAGTTTCTATAAACGTATCAAGCGGAAACGCCATGCCATCAAAATATAAAATTATTTTTCTTAACTCACGAAATTAACCCTTAAATCCGAGCATTATGTTAACGTGTCTTAAAATCATTTTTGTTTTATTTAAAAGATTGTATATTTTGCTCTTCCTAAATGTATTAAATTTTTATAATTATTTGGTGCATATATGAATGAAAGAAATTTTAATAATGTAATAGATTGCTTTTAAAAGCAGAATTTTCATTTGTTTAATTTTCATTGGTTTGACCTAACTTTATTTACCTTTAAGGGCATTTGATACAAGGCTTGTTTTTTAAAAAAGTTTTTTTTGTTCTATTATTTTATTTATTTTTAATTTGATTTATGCGAAGTTGCTAATAAAATTTTCTTTTTTTCTTTTCACAAGTATCAGGGTTTATATAAATATGCGTATGGGTAAAATTTTGGCTCAAATGTGGCTTTCAAAAATTATCTATCAACAAAAACTGTATTCGCGAATTTTCTTCGACTTTTGCAATTCTTCTTCGACAAAGAGTTGAAGCAAAACATGAAGTATAGTAAGTAATATTTAAGTGATAAGTGTTGGAAATTAACGTTCAAAGCATAAAGGTGGACATTAAATATAATAACAAATTTGTTCCTTTCTTCTTTGTAAATTTAATTTCTGTAAATAATTCTGCAATTCTATTACTTAAAAAGATTTATTTATATTTCCTTCATAAATTTACATTGAAAAATTTGCATTTACACGCTTATTTTATAATTCATAATTTATTTGGCAATATGGATTTAAATCCAATTTTTAGCTTTTATTCTTTTAACTTGATTTTTTTATTTAATTTGTATTTTTGTTATTTTTATTACTTTTATTATTGTTTTTTAAAACTTTCAGTTCAAACTTATGGGCCGAAAATACTTTAAACCTTGTTCTGAGTCAAGCTTAATTTAGCTAGGGATTGAAAAAATGAAAAATTAGTTTCTATAGATAATTCTGCAATTCTCGAAAATGAAAAAATTTAATAGAAGAAAAAACTAAACATTTGATTTTAAATACAGATTTTTAAGAGGGGCTTTAAGTAGAAGGAGTCATCATCATTTGGCAAGAATACTGGATGTTTAGCTGAGTCCGATGTATCTGCGTTACTAAGTCTTCCTCCAACTTTTAAAAGCATAAGACTCTGTGTCTTCATGTTCTAAAAAGGGGCTAAAGTTTTTTAAATACTTTTACAAAGAAATTTCTTTAATTGATTTTTAGCACTTTTCCAAAAATTTTTGAAAAAAAGTGCTTATTAGTTTCACTCTGTCCGTCCGTCTGTCCGTCCGTCCGTCCGTGTGTCTGTTTACAAAACTTCTACATTCTTAAAGATAGAAAGCTAAAATTTAATACGTGCATAGATCTTTATTAGAAACTTATTTTCGTAGAACAAAATTTTTACCTATCTCCCCCCCTCTAGAAGTTATACCCCCCCAAAGACCCAAAAATGGCCCATTTTAACAATTTTTTGCAATGAAACCATAAGCATTTTTGAAATTTTGCAAACGCAGAAAGACAGTGGCTTGCTTCCCCTAGCGCGGTATACTACAGTTAAACTTTAAAAAAACAAAATGGCAGTTCAAATTTACCGTTATCTAAAGTCCGTTTTTTCCAAATTTTTGATGTCGTTTTTCTCCTATACCCCAGCCTGCAGAAGCTTGAAGTTTTAGGGGCTTTTAGACATTAACAAATAGTTCATTTCGCTAGAAGAAAATTTTTTTCCTTCTCCACCCCCTCTCAAGTTATCGCCTCTTGAAACTCGTAAAATTTGAATTTTTGACACCTTATATTTCCGAAACCGCAAGCTTTTCCAAATTTTTATAAACTCAAAAAGCTAACGGTAAATTCCGTGAAATTAAAAACTATAATTATTTTTCTTAACTCACACAATTAACCCTTAAAATCGAGCATTATGTTAACCCCTTTTTATATTAATTGTTGCTTTATTTCAAAGACTGCATATATGCGTCATCCTAAATATATGCAATCCTAGAAATAGTTTTGTATATGAATGAAAATAATTTTAATAGTGTGATAGCTATACATAGACTGTATTTAAAAGCAGAATTTTCACTTGTTGAAGGGAAAAGTGCTACAATACAAACCATTGGTTTGACCCAACTTTATTTTAAATAACTAATTTCTAAAAAAAATAATGTTTTAAATTATCTCGCTAATTTTAAAAAGTGCATTGTTTCTTTCTTTGGAAGACAAAGTGCCAACAAGACAATCAAGTTTTATAGACTGACTTTTTTGAAAAATTGATAGCATAGATAAAACTATTTATAATATTATCATAATTTATTGATGAATTTGGATAATACATCGTAGAGATAATTGTCGAATTTTTGTCTCGTTAATGATTTCTGCGTAGAATAATTTATATTAAAGATATTGAGTTACTACTTTTCCAAAGTAGTTAACTCAATATCTTTTGCTTTCTGTGCAGGTCAAAATTCGCTTGGTTTTTCCAAAAATCCCGGACCAGTAAACCAATATGAATTCAAAAGCTCCGCCACATCTGAGCCCCTGCACAACATCTCAGCAGTACTTGGTTTTGAGTTCACGTGTGACCAATTATAATTTTCAGTTAATTGTTGTATTTGTTGAAATTCTATTAGCTATAAAAACAGTCTATATTGAAGGATGTGCGGAAAGCCATCATAAGACTATTTCAGAATCAGTCCATAGAAAACATGATCAAATTTAATGTTTATCGTCGAATTAACCTGTCCAACAGATTTCATGAAAGCACAGCAGGGGAAATGGATTGTGTTTTAATTGAAGTGGTTTTGGATTTGGTCGTTAATAGATTTACATAAGTTGTACCATCAGGGTCAAAGCATATCAAATATATGCAACACCCATAAGTTTTAGAGCTCGCATCGCATAACCCATGAAGTTAAACATGATGTGCATTTTTTTAATAGCTGAAAAAGCGAGGTATAGAGAATTGATTGTAAAAACATAGGTCATTTCTAAAATTTTGCTATTTAGAATGCAGATCTAAAGGAGGGATTCATCCTACTCCAGCTTCCAACACCCAAAGTCTCTGTATAAACAATTTTTTTATGATTTGTGAATCATTTACATCTAGAAGATTTTCCCTTTAAGGAATACTGTCGAGAAAACGGGAATTTATAAAATACCATTTCCTTAATTGCATACCTCCCGAAGCCAAAATGGCTTCTGCTTCACATTTTATGCGTGAAATTTCTTCATATGAATCACCCTACTAATTAAGTCGTCAACGTACATGTCCTGTAGTATTTTTTTTTTATCCTTTTAGATAATTATCTCTATTAAGGGATTAAGGCTTGCCAGATTCACTAAAAGCTTTTTCACCAAGTAGGAAGCTGCAGATTTACCGTAAGTTACAGTTTTTAATTTAAAAGTTTGAATATCTTGCATAGGATCATTTTGCCGTTATATACACTAGGGTAACAGAACTCATCATCATCATTTTACCTATCTACCCCCTCTAGAAGTTATACCCCCCAAAACCATAAAAATGCCATTTTTAAACTATTTATTGCAGTAAAACCATAAGCATTTTTCAAATTTACAACCGCAGAAAGCCAGTGGCTTACTTCTCCTATCGCGGCATACTATAGTCAAACTTTAAAAAAACAAAACGGCCCTTCAAATTTACCGTTATCTAAAATCCGTTTTCTCCAAATTTTTGATGTCGTTTTTCTTCTAGACCCCAGGTTTTAGGAGCCTGAAATTTTATCAGCTTTTAGACACTAATAAATACTTTATTTCGTTAAATGAATATTCTTTTCCATCTCCACCCCCCTTCAAGTTACCGCCTCTTGAAATTTATGAAATTTGAATTTTTGACGCGCTACATTCCCGGAACCACAAGCTTTTACAAATTTCTAAAAACGCAAAAACCTAACGGTAAATTCCATAACATTAAAAAATATAATTATTTTTCTTAACTCACGCAATTAACTCTTAAAATCGAGCATTATGTTAACCCCTCTTTATATGAATTTTTGCTTTATTTCAAAGACTGCATAAATCGTTCATCTTAAATATATGCAATCCTAGAAATAGTTTCGTTTTTGAATGAAAATAATTATTAAAATTATTAATTAGTGTGGTAGGTATACATAGAGTGTATTTAGCAGTATTTTCACTTGCTTTAGGGAAAAGTGCTACAATACAAACCATTCATTTGGCCCAACTTTATTTACACATTTTTTCATCATTCAAAAATGAAAAACTTTTTTCGACTTCGGATATATCGTGTAACAATTTTTATTTTATTTTCTTTTAATAGTACGAAGGCAATATTATGATGTAATGTGAAGAAAAATGAATAGCAATAAAAGTATTTCATGTATAGAGGGAGAGTTATCGCATTATATATTTTACTCTCACGACACAATTTAAGACGTGTAGGTTTATAGAAAAGTATCATCAAAGTTTGTATTATGATATATGCGCTGTATCATATGATTTTGTAATATTTTGCTACACTTACGACAAATCGAATTTACGTAACTGTATTATCACCTATATATTTATAGAAATAATTATACATTTTCCAAATAAATTTTTATGGTATAACCAAAATCTGATGTGGTAAATAACCGACCGTAATGTATATTGTCTAGATTAGTAAAATTATTCCAGAAGATTATTAAAATATGTTTTAAACACTTCTTTACAATTTTAAATACACTAATCAGCTTTTAGTTAAAATACCTAGAAAAATATGAATTTGGGTCTTAGTAGAGTTTTGTTTTGCGCCCTCTGAATTATACTAAAAGTTTGCCAGTAACTTCTGGTAACAATCAGAGTTCAAATAATAAACTTCAAGAAATTCCATCAATTCGTTCGATATAGCTAAAATGTAAGACCAGCTTACAGATCAGTTTCCGAGCCCTAAAATTTCCAAAAATTTATAGGTTCATTGTTTTATCACCTCGAATTTAAATATTACCAAACGAATGAAATCGTTTGATTATTTCTCTTTATATACGCAAAAATTAATATTTGGCACATACTAAACGCCCAATTGCTGACACCTGATTTCTTACAAAAGTTAGGACGTTTCTCGTACGGTCGAGCGAAGCTCATATATGTATGAAATTTTAAGTAAATCTGTTGAATATCTTTTTTCAACAGATTTACTTGAAATTTCATTTTTAGCTTAGGTATTTTCAAAAAAAAAAATTCAAACTTGTATAAAAATAATAATAAAGTTGGGTCAAACACCAATGGTTTGTATTGTAGCACTTTTCCCTTCAACAAGTTAAAATCCTGCTTTTAAAAACACTCTATGTATATCTACCACACTATTAAAATTATTTTCATTCATAAACGATACTATTTCTAGGATTGCATATATTTAGGATGAACGATTTATGCAGTCTAAAAAAATAAAGCAAAAATTAATATAAAAAGGGGTTAACATAATGCTCGATTTTAAGGGTTAATTGTGTGAGTTAAGAAAAATAATTATATTT